CTCTCTCTCTCTCTCTCTCTTCTTCTTCTTCTTCTTCTTCTTCCTCCTCCTCCTCCTCCTCCTCCTCCTCCTCCTCCTCCTCCTCTTCCTCCTCCTCCTCCTGCTCCTTCTTTTCCTCCTCCTCCTTCTCCTCTTCCTCCTCCCTTTCCATTCTCTCTAAAAAGAAGAAAAATAATTGGATGATTAACAACAACAAAAATTATGTACATCTTAGTTCCCAATGTTTTCACTTGTAAATATTGCTACTCTGGCTTTGATTTATTTAGACAAAACAAGAGAGACCCTTCAGAGACGGCTTTGCTCTGAGGTCAGATGGATAGTTTGGTGGGAGAAGTTCTTTCAGCTGGACTGTGCATAAAGGAAGTGTTTATTCAGGATAACTGGGTAAGAAGATCTTATTCTTACCGTGAGTTTTAAGGTTGATTCAGGTGTGGACATGAAGGGATTTTACGAAAGGCAGCATGTTCCTCCTTCATATCCCACTGCCTGATGTCACAAGGATTTATCTGAGGTTCCTTGCATTCCTTGTGAATGAGAATATATAGGAATGTTCTTCGTAACTTATAAACTCCGATAAGTGTTGCTTAATTGCTTGATTTGGAAGAAATCTCTCATCTGTGTTCATTGCGCCTCATTAAATCTGTCAACAAATATTGAAAACAGTGGGTGCAAAGCCTGTGTTCTGCCTTCCGTTTGTATCTATTAACCAATAAACATAGTCCCTACCCTCAGCTCAGAGGTTCAACTTGGAATTGTATAAACAGGCAGGATGGCAGTCCAGGGGAGGAAAATTTTTAATGCTTTTGCTAGTCTGTGATTTCAGACAAGTTGGTCATGGTAACACTAACTGCCATTATGATTACTTATAGAATAGAGTTTGGCTTGCATTGAATTCATCCCACTGTTTTATTGAGGCTAATTTTTATTATATTTTATAGTAGAGGCCCGATGTATGAAAAATCGTGCAAGAGTAGGCCTTCCTTCCCCCGGCTGCCGGCACCGGCTTCCCTCTGGCACCCGGGACCCGAGCTTCCCTCCTCTGGCTATCGGCAGGCACCCGGGGCCTGAGCTGGCTTCCCTCGGGCCACCTGCAGGCACCTGGGACCCGGGCTGGCTTCTCTCCGGCCCTGGCTTCGTCAGGAAGGATGTCCGGTCTAATTAGCATATTACCCTTTTAATATTATAGATATCATGGTAATCACTGTGTAGAATGCTAACACATAGGCACATGGGACATTGTGCCTATCCCCAAAGTCTTTATGCGTTAAAGAAGAAATCCAAAAAGGGAAAGTAAGCTTGATAGTTGATTTAACTTCTGGGGCTTTTAAAAGGAAGACTCTGTGGCATTTGGGAAAGTTAGATGTTGCATGATAGTAGAGAAATAAGGAAATAGGGTGACTTCAGATCATTGGTCTTCAAAGGGTAATGGCATGTCCTCACATTTTACTTTATTTTAAATGAATATTATAGGAAATTCTCTCCCATTGGTTAATTTCAGTTGTTGGGACCTAGAGGCTGGTCGTTCCTCTCTTTCTCAAAAGTGTATAACTTACAGAAATGACAGCTGAAGTTCTCTGTTTTTTTTCAAATATTTTAAGTATTCAAATCCAATCATATATTTATATTACTTGCTATCCTAGAAACTAAGGTTTTATGGGTAGAAACGGAGGAATTCTATTTGGCCAGCATTTATTTGAGGTAAGCCTGTGTATTTTGGTCCATACTGTAGTTAAAGTGAAAAAGGACACTATTTTTTACATTTTATCCTATAATGCTTGTCTGTAAGTGCTTCCTGACCTTATGTATTGTCCTCAAGCAGCAACTCGATAGCTTCTGGCCACTCCTTTTCAGTGTGTTGGGCTTGTCATTTAATCAGTTGGGTCTGAATTACTGTGTCTGGAAGGCTGGTTTGCATCATTTCTATTTGGCTGACTTCTGTGGCAGGACATTGTTCTCCCTTTTTAGGGGAAAATGATAGTAGTTGACGTTGCTGTGGAAGGGATGTGTGTGATGATGCAGAAGGTGTCATTCAGGGAGAGCCTGCCGGCTGCCTTCATGACTGCTTCATGGTGGCATTTCCATTCAAGAATCTACCACTGCCTTCCTGTTGGTATTCATACTGGGGTCAGAAACTCAATATTCTCCCATAGATGGTACTTTGCAAAGTGACTTGCTTTAACAGAACTCATGAGAGCTTTTGTTTAAAGTCAGGACATCCATTTATTTATTCCCAGAATGTCTGTCATCGGGCCAGGCAGTTGTGTGGGGTTGACTGGGCCAGCACACTCAGCACTGTTGTTAGGCTGAAAAGGAGCCAAATTATGAGGCGCTTCTCAGTGAACAGTATCAGGACAAGGGAAAGTAGCTGTGTGATGCCAGTGTTTAATAGCACTGGGCTCTGCAAGCCTGATGGGTCCCCTTCCAGAATGTGATGTGGGGTGTGTGCTTATAAGGACATAGTGTGTGTTTATAAGTGTCAGATGGGCTTCTCTGGACTCTATGCCGCCATTGTCGGCCCTTCCAGCCCGTTACTATAGTTGTTCTCTCTGACCCCACACCCCCTTCAGGTGGGCACAGTCTTTAGGTACGTTGATGGAATCAAGTTTCAGTTATGTCATTGGGACTCCTGGTGACTTTGCATAGCTCCACTCTGATCTGTGTCAATTTTAGAATTTAACTGACTGGGAATAGTCTTATTTTTCCCCGTCCAGGTGTGTGTGTGTGTGTGTGTGTGTGTGTGTGTGTGTGTGTGTGTAGGAGTTGTTACTTTTGTACTCAAGTATAATCAATTGGTGTCTCCAGGTCATAGTTTGAATAGCTTTTGAGTATACATTTAAGTTCTTTCCCTTGACTTGATATTTATGGAGGAAAGCAGGAAAAAAAATTGTAGCAAATATTTGATAGCCTCGTTCACTTTACTCAACTTTACTCAAGACCACTGATGTGGAAGATGTGACTATGCTAAAAACAGCTGAGCTCCCCCACAATAGGCATACACGGTGCAACAAACAAACATATTTTTTATTGATTTCAGAGAGGAAGGGAGAAGGAGTCAAATTATGGAGCCACATTATTGAAGGAGAAGGAGCCACATTATTGAAGTTCTCTGTTTTTTTCAAATATTTTAAGTATTCAAATCCAAAGTTAGTTGGAGAGTGTGCTGCCCGCCATTCACTAACTTTAGCATTTAGTTCCCCATCTTTATTCATAGAAAATTAATGTAAAACTCAAGGTACCTTTATCTTGAGAAAGATAGAAACATCAATGATGAGAGAGAATCATTGATTGGGTGCCTCCTGCATGCCCCCCTACTAGGGGTTGAGCCCCCAACCTGAGCATGTACCCTGGCCGGGAATTGAACTGTGACCTTCCTGGCTCATAGGTCAAAGCTCAACCACTGACCCATGCCTGGCTGGGCTCAAAGTAGCATTTTTAAAAAGAATTAGGCTCTAAGCCATGCCCCCTTTATGTGTCAAGACTTGGGAATATGATTTAACTCCAATACATTTTGGTATCGCTGTCTCCAAATTCTGCTGATTATCTCCCTAGTATTTCTGAGGTTTGTTTGTTTGTTTGATTGCTGTTGCCCAAAGCTTTCATTGTTCGGAGGAGAGAAGTGGGGTCCACAGGAAGGATGGAGGACCCTGCTCTCTGGGAGTCTGCAGTTTGGATTCTGGCCCTGTGCTCATTAGCTGCCTGACCCCTGGGCAAGTCAGCCTCCCAGGTTCTGTGTCTTCATCAGGAAAACAAAGGGCTTGGAAAAATAAATACAGGCCTGGACCCAAATGATAAGGAAGGTCACCCTGCACACTCACTGTGGTGGGATTCTGTGAATGGCGGCAGCACACTCTCCAAGCCTCTCAGCGATCCCCTCAGCACCTGTGCTCGATTCGGGGGCTGAGAGGTCACGAGGGTGTTCCCCGGAGGCCACTTGAACCACTCAGCGAACGAGGCAGGTTTGGGACTCTGCTCTACCTATGTCGGAGTTTCTCCCTCCCTTCCCTGCTCTCCTCTTTCTTCCTTCTTTTTCATTCAGCAGCAGCCTGCTTGCCTTCTCCCTTCTTCTCTTTAGTGCATTAGCGGTGATGTGCTGGGTAACACAACCCACTCAGGTTTGTCCCTGTTTGGAGTTGTCCAGCCATCTCATCTCCGTAGTGGAGGGAAGAGAGAGCTAAAGGAGACGGCCCAAAGGATGAAATAATGGTCCTTTTGTCTGTCTCTTTGCTGTCGGATGGTTTCATGTTTCATCTTAGGCCTGGGCCATTGTGCTGTTTTTTTTACATGCTCAGTACAACCCTGTTTAAAACTACAGCTGTTTTATTGAAAGGATTCAGCCCTAATGCCACTGGCCCGTGCTCCTTTCCTTCCCACCCCCCGAGAGACTCATAACTGTTTGTGGTAAAGGCCCAGGCTGGTGGGTGCTGTTTGATCACATCCCCTGACATCAGTTTTAAAATGTGTTCCCACTGTATTTATTTTGCAATTGCTTATAAGGTATGTTTCATTCTGATAGCCTTCCCAAATGTTTTCCTTGTGGTTCTATAATCAGTAGCATCTGTAAAACATGCCTTGGACCATGTAGCTTCCTTCTTAATCGTTATCTTTTTGATTCTCGGTTTTAATGTTTTCTTTTGATGAACGAGGGTTGGGAGGACCCGCATGCCTGTGCCAGACACCAGACTGTGATGTGCCCAGATCTACCCTCATAACCTTAATTAGATGTGGAATGCTGAGAATGCACTGTTGTGGGTTTTTTTGTTTGTTTTTACTTTTATAGTAAGACAGTGAACTTCATTAAGAGTGATGAAACACTTCTTTTGTCTTTAGCATTTAGTTCCCCATCTTTATTCATAGAAAATTAACGTAAAACTCAAGGTCCCTTTATCTTATCCTACATGATCTGTTTATTTGAACTCAAGTTACCGCTAGTGTCAATATGCAGGTTATATTCTAACTTACAGCCGTTAATTCCTCTTCCCAACCCCTCCTTTTCCCTTTAGAAACAAAGGAGTGTCGAAAATGTTAAAGGCTGTGCTGAAGAAGAGCCGAGAGGGAGGAAAGGGAAGCAAGAAGGAACCAGGTATGTGTACAGGAAGGAGCTGGGGTGAGCAAGCCTGGTGGGTGTGGCAGCAGGACCCCAGCCCAGGCTGGGCCCATGTCCCTGCCTTGGGCACGGGTCAGAGAGGTGATATGTGTTAGAGCAGACAGCATATTGGAGCTGTGAGAAACTAAATACATGGCTAGGTTTTTTATGAAAAGTGACTTTGAAACTGAGTTTGGGTTATGAACTGAATCCTTCCCTAGAAGACTTGTTCCTAATTTTAAAAGGTCATTCAGATCCAGAGTTCCAGTTTGAGACATTGTGGGACAGCAGGTGTGTCCAGGAATTTGGTTTCTAGGAAGTTTTTTACCCTTTTCGCACATGTGATTGCATTTTCTGTTTGACCAACTGCTGGCTGCCTAGTCGTCCTCTTTTGAGTATCATATTATCCCCTTAACAAGGGTAGCCCACTCAGTACCCATTTTATTTTGATGGGAGCTACTCAATTTGGCTTGGATTTCATTTCTGTGTGTAGAGTCTGGTACATTTGTGGTCATTGTGACTCCATTCTTGTCCACGTGAGGAACTGTTCTAAGGTCATTTTAGTGACCAGTCAGTATTACACCCTCTTTCTCTTGCTAGAAAAACTACACATTGTCTACCTGTATTGTGCAATAAAATTCTGTTAGCATGGATTAATTTCCCTGAAATGGTGTCAATTCACTCTAAATTCATGTTAACCCAGCGTTGGAGAAATACTGGTTTTCCAAGTGAGTGATTAACATTTCAGTTCTGATTTCTCTTAAAATATAAAAAAAAATTCACTTATTTCCAAAACATCACTGAATTACAGTTAATTCCTTCGTTCAAAAGATCTTGTAATACCATGTGATAATGTTAATATGTGTTGTTTCTGTACTTACAGATAAAGTGGACTTTAAAACTTTTTTGATTCTGGAACCGAGACACGTTTTCTATTAGTTATCCCTTAAACCAAGCCTGCAAAATGGCACGCTTAACCTTGAAAGTGGGGTCTTTGTGATAAAGTTGCTGTTAGATCCCATGAGAAGCTTCTGATTAATGCCTGAGTAAGCAGATATAAAGAAGAAACCAGTTTTTAATGATAGAAACAGGAGACCATAGTTAGCTCTTAACCTTAGAAAATCAAACCCTAGCTTTGAATAATTAATTAGAATGGTTACTATGGAGAATTTTCAGTTCACATAATTTCTGTCCAGAGGGACATTCATCCCCTGTTGGGTCATGGCCAAAACATCCTTCTCTTTATTTCTCTGAAAGCAATTAAAAGATAATTAATTTCTTCTTTTTTTTTTTTTTTTTTTTTTTTTTTTTTAGTTTTGGCTCTTCTGACACCCATCCTAGGACCTTTGTTGTTTGATTCTTTGTAAATTTCAGCATAAAGTTAGATCCTAAGCTATTTGGCTAGAGCTGCCAACCAGCGGCCAGGGTCTCCAAGCCAGAACTACCCCCTTGGTAACAGAGTCTTTCACAGCAGTCCCAACTCATCTATATATATAAAAGCCTAATATGTAAATTGTCCCCTCGGGAGTTCAACCAGGAGACTGGGAGTTCCATCTCTCGCTATGTATGACATGTGCTGACCACCAGGGGGCGGCGCAGAACTAAGGAAGGCCTGGGCTGGCAGCCGGAAGGCCCCGATCGGCCCCGATTGCCGGCTGGGCCTAGGTACTCGTGCACGAATTTTGTGCACTGGGCCTCTAGTGTGAAATAACAGTATATGAATGATTTTGACAACCTGCCTTTCAGTTGGACCAGACAGTGAACATAGTTTACATTTGAAACTTTTTTATTTGTAGACCATGTGATTTTGGGTTTAATTCCTCTGAGCAACTGCTATTGTGTTTTTTGTTGTTGTTTTCTGAATAATTTTTTAATAATAAGTCCCATACTATGGCTTTTCACTAATGCAAACCAACTTGAAAAAAGCAATGTGAACATTCCTCATAAAACATCTGTATGGTATGTGCCTTTTTCCTCTTAACTAGAACCTGGTTATATTAGTTGGGGAACAAAGCAGATGGAATTTTAAATCTTGAAGATATGTCACAGATGATTGGGGAAAATACTTGGAATTTGACCATTTATATGCTCAGCTCTGTGCCAACTCTCATTATGTACGTAAATCAGATCTAAGTTTCTCTGTAAATTGAAGCTGGCTAATCTACTCAGACGGCTCTGAAACTTGGGTAATAATATCTCCTGCATATGGAAAAATTTTGCTCTACTGTTTCCAATTAACCAATCTTTGTTGTAAACACAAAGGGAAATTCATTTTTATATACTTGAACTTGCAATCACAGAAATTTAGGAAATATTTGTCTAAAATACTGAGCTCTGCTTTTCCTATCCTTTGTAGATTGTTTTTTACAGACAACCATGAACTACACTTTTATGTTCAACCTATTTTAGGAATTTGGAAAATAATCACTGAGTTAAATTTATTATTCTTCAAATGAAAATAAGTATTAGTAAGAAGTATTGAAAAGTTGTTTTATCCTCAGCTCCTATCCCTAGAAGAAGATATCACATGTATCTATTCTAAACTATTGGTAAATGTTAGCAGGGAGTGAAATTCAAGTTATATATATATATCAGCCTAGGCCCGTGGTCAGCAAACCATGGCTCTCGAGGAACATGCGGCTCTCTGGCCCCTTGAGTGTGGCTCTTCCACAAATTACCACGTGCGGGCACGCACAGACAGTAGGATTGAAACTTCGTGGCCATGCGCAGAAGTAGGTATTTTGTGGAAGAGCCACACTCAAGGGGCCAAAGAGCCGCATGTGGCTCGTGAGCCGCGGTTTGCTGACCACTGGCCTAGGCGACCAGTTACAACGGAATGACCAGAACGACCGGAATGACTGGTTCTATGACATGCACTGACCACGAGGGGGCAGACACTCAATGCAGGAGCTGCCCCCATCCTGCAGGAGAACTGGGGGTGGGTGGCAGTGGACTCGGCCCCTTTCCCATGGGGGCCAAGGGCCAGCGGCAAGCGGCCAACCTCCCAGGGCCCACCCTCTGTCTCTCCCCTGGCCGTCAGGCCCCGATTGGCCCGCTGTCTGCCTGCTGTGGTGGCGGTTGGCCCCTCCTCCCAGCCGGCAGGCCCCAATTGCCCGATAGGGGACTGCCGGCCAATCTCCCAGTCCCTCCCCCTGGCCGGTAGGTCCCGATTGGGCCAGGCCCCAGGCTGGGCTGGGACAGGGTACCAGGGGTGGGTGGTGGCGTGCAGGGAAGGAGGAAGCGGGGAGGCGGGGAACCACGTGGTGGTGGTGTGTGGGTGGTGAGGGAAGGAGGAGGCAGGAAACCTGATCAGCCCTGATCACTGGTCAGGCCTAGGGACCCCCCTGTGCACAAATTTCGTGCACTGGGCCTCTAGTATGTATATAAAGTTCTTTGAAATATTATGTGCAGTGAGATATTAAACTATTGAAAGCCATTGCATGAACTCTAAAAATAGCAAAAGTCTTTTTTATGATTATGCTTTTTTACCGAGGAAGTGTCTATAGCTGAGTAAAAAATGTTTTCTGGAGGTTATAGAATCAAATGGGAGAAATGCAATATTAAAAACTTCAATACGTGTTTTAGGAAAGTAAATTTACGTTGTCTCCACCACTCTATCAGGGCAAACGAGCACTGTCTTTCTCTTGACCTTGAGTTAGGCCCAAGGGAACAAAAATTGATATTAAACCATAATGTGGTGAGCGCCAGATGAGGGCATCTATTTTTTTTTCCTCTGTGCTTTTATATTAGGACCTTGATGTCAAAAAATAAGGTCTTGCTCTTTTTTTAAGCTCTCCAGAGAAGTCTACAACCTTCTACCATGCCTCTTTATTTGAAGTGACTTTTATTATCAGAAAACTTTCATGTTACTATTATTAAAGTTATTTAAATTTGAAAATGAAATAATTACTGCACTCTACGAGTGGGCATATTCTGACATCAAATCTGGACCCAATAAGAGTTTAGAGTGAATATAAGAGTAACATAAGACATTAATATATATTCTGTACAGCAGCACTGTTTAGAAAATGAATAGGAAAAATAGTCCCATTTGATAATAGAAACAAATTTAAATACCGACCCAAGAAGAAATGTACAAACCTTATATTGAAGAAAATACTAAAACATTACTGAAGGACTTAAAGGAAGACATGGATAAATGGAGAGAAATATCATATTCCTGAATGGACAGATTTTTTTTTTTAAACCACTAGATCTTACCAAATTATCTGTACATTCGTTTAATCCCTAATGATATCCCCTTTTTTTAAGGCTTTATTTTCTCAGAGCAGTTGTAGGTTCATAGTAACATTGAGAAGGAAGCTACAGAGATTTTTTGTATACTTCCTGACTGCACTCATGCTTAGCCTCCCCCATTGTCAATGTCCCCCATCAGAATAGTACATTTGTTACCACTGAGGAACCCGCGTGGACACATCATTATCACCTAGTCCAGGGTTTACAGTAAGGTTCACTCTTGTTGCGGTACATTCTGTTGGTTTGGACAAATGTATAATGACATCTACCGACTGTTATAGCAAGATACATATTTTTGCTGCTTCTGAAATCCTGTCCCTTTTCTTAACACAGCATAACCATTGGGTTAAGAAAGTTATCTGAAAGAGAAAATGCTCAAGAATAGCCAAGGGGAAATTGAACGTGTGGGGCAAATGCATCTAAATGGCTGAGCCTGGGTCCTATGCCTGGGTTCTAGCTGCAAGAGAGGCTGGACAAGTGTGTATTTGGACTTCTTAGCTCCTATAGGGCAAGGTGGACTTTACCTCCCAGCAAGACTTGCATTGCAGAGGATTCTTTCCGTATACACATGGATAGATCCCTTGTACTTCAAAAAGGAACCAAGCATAGAGATCTAGTGTCGCTTGTTCTAATAGCTGCTTCCAAGTAGTAGGTATATGGCTTAGCTGGTGTTTTGGACCTTTCTCCTTACTGGTCTCCAAGAAATGAAATGTAATTTTGCTCAGCCGGTGTGCCTCAGT